GCACAGCGCAGCGCGGGGGCCGGGACCGCTGACGCGCCGTGCGCACTGCGCGAGCTGAGCGTGGACCTGCGTGCCGAACGCTCGGTTCTCATCCCGGAGACGTACCAGGCCAACAACTGCCAGGGCTCGTGCGGCTGGCCGCAGTCCGACCGCAACCCGCACTACGGTAACCACGTGGTGCTGCTGCTCAAGATGCAGGCCCGCGGGGCGGCTCTGGCGCGCCCACCCTGCTGCGTGCCCACGGCCTACGTGGGCAAGCTGCTCATCACCCTGTCGGAGGAGCGCATTAGCGCGCACCACGTGCCCAACATGGTGGCCACCGAGTGTGGCTGCCGGTAACCCCGCGCCCCGCCCCCAGTGGCACCCCTGTCCATATTTATTCGGACCCCAATCATAACCCCAATAAAGACCACAAGCACGCGGCTGGGGTGTCTGTGCGTGTTTGAGGGCAGGCGGGGCCTCCTTCAGCCAACTCTCTGCGCGCAGGGCAGAGTCATCTCCGTTGGCCCTGCCTCCTCCCTTCGCAGCCCCACCGCTGTCTGAAGTTCCCATCCCTGTTATTCAGGCCCCGGGCCAGTTGCGAGGGCGAGGTGTAAAGGAGCAGGCGAGGGCGGGGGAGGGGGGGCAGCGCTTGCTTTATTTTCCTAGAACCCGGGGCTACCGAGAAGAGGTCCTGTAATTCCAGCTCAAGACCCAGGCCCGGCTCAGTCCCGCCCCTTCCCCGCGCGGTGTTTCTGGCGGCCTGGAGGCCAGTCCTCCGCGTTGGGGCGCCGTGGGGAGGCCCAGGCCTGCCTCTTCCTGTGCTCAGGATCTCTGGAGTCCTGTACCCACGGCCGATGGCCCCCATCGCGTGCCTTCCAGCGCCGGGGTAAGGATTCCCCGGACTCCCTGGCGGGCCGTGGCTTCTCGGGCTTCCGTGGTTTCTCTTCCGTCCTCTGTCTCTCCTTTCGCGGCCTCTCCTTCCGCGGCCTCTCTTTCTGCAGCCTCTCCTTGGGGCCTTCGTGGGCAAGGGAAGCGCGCTCCTCTCCAGCGGCCTTCTCAGGGTCCCCTTCCTCCTTTTCTTCAGCCTCCGCACTCCTGGGAACTTCGGTCCTCTTCTCTGCCTGCACCTGGGGCTCAGAGGGTCCCGATGGGGGGGTCCAGGCCGCAGGCTTCGGCTGCAACGCAGACAGTACGGGTTGATGGGTTCAGTGCAAACCCACCCCACAGGCACAGGCCCCTTCCTCCGAATGAGGGTCCAGCCGCCCGCAGTCGTGGAAAGAAACGCTTACCGAGGGCGACGCTGGCTTCTTTGGTGCCGAGTTCGGTGGGACCCATGGCTCAGGGACAGGTGCAGGGGCGTCCACCTCCCCAACCACGACGTCTGGGAAGGGATGGGAGGGGTGCGAATCAGCCTGCGCTGAGCCAGGCCACACGGTCCACCCCAGCCCTCACCGCTGTACAGCTCCCTCTCCCCGGGGACAGGGCTGGGCCGGATTCCTCCGAGCCCTTGGAAAGAGTTCCTGTCCCCGCTACTGCGCGCGCCCTGTTCCCTCCAAATCTGCCTCACTCCGGTTGCAAAAGGACAGGCCGTATTTCTCTGCGGGCTGCAGGAGCGCCCTAGCGCAGGAGGAAGGCTCACATCACCAACGGGGAGCGCGCGGCCCATCTTGGGCGTGCAAGGACCATAGAGGGCGGACGGAAGGAGGCACGCAAAGCCAACCTGGAGACAGGCGTCCATACCGGACCCTAGAGGTGCACGGTCGGTGCCTAAACAGGGAGTGCACAAGGGGAGAAGGGAGAGGAGGACTCCGCACAAGGTCCACGCTAGGGGAACGGGGCGGCGCAAGGCGGGCCTGGGGAGGGACTTGGGCCTCTCCATCGGGGTGGGGGAATGTGCAAGACCCAGACCCTGGGGGCGCAGGCTCACCCCGACACAGCTGGAAGGCCGAGCCCAGCAGTGCCACCAGCGAGGCGAGCACCAGGCACTTGTTGAGCGACATGTCTCCCCACGGTAGCTCCTCGCTCAGGGCCAGAGGTGGTGGCGACCGCTGCGGGGGTGGTGCGGCCTGCGCCTTCTTGCGCGCGGGACTCCTCGGGGCTTCGGAAGCAAATGTGGGACTGGGCGCGGCTCCAAGGGGCGGCCCTACACCCTAAACTGGCTCAGCCCTGCCTGCTGTGTGGCCCTAAGCAGGGGAACTAAGTTTCGCAGCTTTACCGGTATGCCGAGAATATTCTTGATAATTAGCTGAAGCTTAATAGCACCTTAGCTGGTGTTATCATGAATTAGCAGAAGCTCCTAGACCTTTTAGTTACTGCCTGCGACACCTGGTCACCACTCAGCCAGGAGCCAACATCACAGCACCCTGTCTCCCCCCCCCCC